ATATAAAAGTTTATTACCGTATTCTGTTATTTCGGCGTATATTATAATACAATGTCTTTCGATGCAAGTCGATATGTCACAGGGAGACGTCGCATTGCATATATCATTGTATACGGAATACACCGTTCACACATGATGTAGTAATAACGAAGTATTATAAGAGAGAGGATTTTATTCGGCAACGCGTTTTCGTTATATTACACGCCGTTAGAATCCGAATGTCCATATATATATACTGCAGACGAGGCCCCTTCGGGGACGAAAACGCTCGCCTTTGTGCATAAGACATCGCCATCTGTTCCACGTCGCTTTTGTTCGCGGACGAAGAATGATAAGCGAAGAGGGACATTAAAGCAAAACTCAGAAGCGGTACTCGAAATTTTTCCGGTTATTAAATTGAAAAATGCAATTTTTATTCTCTGTATATTAAATAAAAAAGCTATCTGATATTTTTAAATCGATATCGAAAAAAAACATGCGGAATTTGATTAGTTTTGGCCGACGAAAAGGAAGTAATATCGTTATTTTTAAAATATCAGTAAAATAAATCAATATTTAATAAATAGTATATAAATATTTAATAAATAGTAATCGAAACATCAATCTTCGGCACACGTTTAATAAAACTATCATACAACGGTATTACTTTATTTTCGATCGTGATATATATCTAATTTTTCATGTTGTCAGAGAACACGCCTCTGTGGTAGAAGAACGCCGAAATATTCAAAATTCGAGATGTGATATCGCACAAATTTGGAAAAAGCTCCGTATTCCGAGCAAAAGTTATTTCACGATGTTTGTTCATTGTACACGCCGAGAGTTAATTAAAATTCTGACTTTGACGAATGGGCCGTTACTCATGTCCACCGCTAGCTAATTGTTTTTTTTTTAATATTGCAAGTAATAAATATAATAGAAAAAAAGATTACTCATATATATATATATATATTTGGCTATGCGCAGAATCTCGCGAGGAACATTTTGTATCCCATGGTACGTAGCGATAAAATATGTACTGCGCTGAATTGAAATATAGTAGGATGTACAGTTCGTAACATTGTCTATGTTATAGTTCATTGACTTTTTTTCTTTTTTCTTGTTTTGTGAAAGTAGTCGAAGGGCAATACTAAAAAGAAGAAAACGCGCAAACTTGGAGAAAAAGATTTGTATATTGATTATTTATAGTAAACTTAACGATAACACATTAATCGTACAAAGATAACGAAATCGCGCGAGAACTTTGGAATAATTAATATAAATTAATATTTTCTAAATTTTTGTTTGTTAGTTTGTTAAACTAATTCCGAATGAGCATTCATGCATGCTGAATTGAACCTGGAACGCAAGAAAAGAGAATTGTACATTTGTGATTATCGTATACGCAGAGTCCTATTTTAAATTTGTCTCAGCAAAATATTTGAAAAACTAAATAACATCGGGAAAAAATTTTGGACGAGAGTCGTTTCAAGGAGAATATTCTAGGGACGCGGCACAATTTTGTTCTCAGCTGGAAACGCCTTCGAGATATGAAAACTTTTATTTTTTTATTTTTTTTAATGGAATAATTTAATTTATATGTTTTTTTTCAATTATTCTGCATAAAAAAAACCATTAAGATAGAATTATTCAAACGCTATAATTTTTCTTCGAGACACTTCTCATCATCATTTAATTTTCCAGATATTTCTCTGTGACACTTAAAATGGGGGGGACATTCTATATATAATTATTCATGTACAAATATATCAGAAAGGAAATGTAAAAATTTTATTTCTTTCATTTTCATATGTCACAGATATATCTCGAAAAAAATAAATAAAAATGATATATATATATATA